ATATATCCTGTGTATTCGATATACAATCTGCAATATACACAGGTGTACACCGAATATACATTATATATACTACATTCAATAGTTATATACTTGTTATGCTTAAATGCTCTATACACTCTACATACACCATATTTCCTGTGTTTTCTATATACAATCTGCAGGGTATAGAGGTATACACCAAATATACAATATATATATACTACATTCAATAGTTATATACTCTGTATATACTTGTTATACTGAAATGCCCTATACACTCTATATACTAAATTCAATAGTTACATACGCTATATATACTTGTTATGCTTAAATGCTCTATACACTCTACATACACCTTATACATCTATACATATATACACCTTATACATCTATACATATATACACCATGTATCCTGTATATTCTATATACAATCTGCAATGTACACAGGTATACATCTAATATACAATATATATATATATATATATATTATAATTATATACTCTATATTTACTTGTTATGCTTAAATGCACTATACACTCTACATGCACTATACACATATATACACCATATATCATGTGTATTCTGTATACAATCTGCAATGTATAGAGGTATACACCGAATATACAATATATATATATACTACATTCAATAGTTATATATCCTATATATACTTGTTATGCTTAAATGCACTATACACTTTACATATACCTTATATATCTATACATATATACACCATATATCCTGTGTATTCTATATACAATCTGCAATGTACACAGGTATACACCGAATATAAATATATATATACTACATTCAATAGTTATATACTCTATATGTACTTGTTATGCTTAAATGCACTATACACTCTACATGCACTATACACATATATACACCATATATCCTGTGTATTATATATACAATCTGCCATGTACACAGGTTTACACCTAATATACAATATAAATATACTAAATTCAATAGTTACATACTCTGTATATACTTGTTATGCTTAAATGCCCTATACACTCTACATGTACTACATACATAAATACACCATATATCCTGTGTATTCTATATACAATCTGCAATGTACACAGGTATACACCTAATATTCTATATATATATATATATATATATATATATATATATATATACTACATTCAATAGTTATATACTTGTTATGCTTACATGCCTTCTACACTCTACATGCACTGCATACATATATACACCATATATCGTGTGTATTATATATGCAATCTGCAATATATATATAGGTATACATCGAATATACAGTATATATTCTACATTCAATAGTTATATACTCTATATGTACTTGTCATGTTTAAATACACTATACACTCTACATGCACTATATACATATATACACCATATATCGTGTGTATTATATATGCAATCTGCAATATATATATAGGTATACATCGAATATACAGTATATATTCTACATTCAATAGTTATATACTCTATATGTACTTGTCATGTTTAAATACACTATACACTCTACATGCACTATATACATATATACACCATATATCCTGTGTATTCTATATACAATCTGCAATGTACACAGTTATACACCTAATATACAATATATATATATATATATATATATATATATATATACTACATTCAATAGTTATATACTCTATATATACTTGTTATGCTTAAATACACTATACCCTCTACATACACTATTTACATCTATACATATATACACCATATATCCTGAGTATTCTATATACAATCTGCAATGTACAGAGATATACATCGAATATACAATATATATATACACAACATTCAATAGTTATATACTCTATATTTACTTGTTATGCTTAAATGTCCTATATACTCTACATGCACTATATACACCATTTATCCTGTGTATTATATATACAATCTGCAATGTATAGAGATAAACATTGTATATGCAATATATATACTACATCCAATAGTTACGTTATGTATAATATAAAGGGTGGGCCAATATTGAGAGTAGGATTTGACAGGTAAAAAACTTGTTAGTAGTTGCATTTTTCAGTTGCAGGTACATAGTATAACTGAGTTATAAATTCATCATGGGTAATTTCATGGAGTTACAACGAGTAAAAGTAGTGGAATTTAAATCTCAAAATGGCAGGTCCATTATTTTAACGCAAAGAGCTTACCACCGGCACGTCAATGTAAGCTGCCACATTTGTCCATCCTTTGAGCTCCTAAATACTTCCGGTGTGGATATCTGAAGTTTTTTGTGTATATAAACAAACCGCGTACACTTGAGCAGATTAAGGAGAATATCCGTGCATAAATTCAAGCCTCAAACATTAGCTTTTGTTATGAACAATGCAATCGAAAGCGTCTGACTTTGCGAGGCGTTAAATGGATCTCATTTAAAAGATGTAATCTTCCGTACATAGTCAAGCAAATCTTCATACGCTGAGCATTCATTGTATGTAATATCATTGAAATTGCTTCATTCATGAAAAAAAGTTATTCACCCCTCAAACCCTACTCTGAATTTTGGCAGACTTTAAACTATATATACAATCAAAATACATAAATGCACTCTATACTCTACACTATATAAATATTTCTTCAACACACATATATACACCTTTAACACTATTGACTTTATATATTTATACACTTTATATTTTATAAATATATATATACAGGGGCGGACTGAGAACCCTCAGGGCCCCCGGGCAAAATAAATCAAGGGCCCCCTTACAGGCCCCACCCATACTCTGCAGCAAGCGCCTCCATGCACCGCCTCCAGCCACACCCTACACAATCTTTAGACACAAGGAACAAAAGGGCAATAAGCCCTTCGAGGCCCCAGTAGAGACTACAATTGAGGGCTAATGGGCCATGGAGGGGGGTCTTTCTAGCGGAGGCTATCTCAGTGTCCTTTAGAGAGTGTGTTAGAAAGAATCCCCTCCAAGCCCCATTAGAGACTACAATGGAGTCTAAAAGGCTTGGAAGGGGGTCTTTCTAACAGAGGCCATCTCAGCGTCCATTAGATATCCCCTGCTGGAAACAGTCGCCTCCAGGCCCCAGTAGAAACTACAATTGAGGGCTAATGGGCCATGGAGGGGATTTCTAGCAGAGGCTAGAGTCTAATGGGGCCTGGAGGGTGGTCTCTCCAACACTCTGGTTCCTATTCACAATATAGCAACACAACATAGCTCGCTGATACCTAAGCCAAGTTGGCTCCTCTTACCTTAATTACTGTTGCTGGCTGGCAGTCTGTGGGCTTGCTGGCTGCGGCTGGCAGGCTGTGGGCTTGCTGGCTGCGGCTGGCAGGCTGTGGGCTTGCTGACTGCGGCTGGCAGGCTGCGGCTGGCAGGCTGTGGCTTGCTGGCTGTAAGCCTGTGGCTTGCTGTAGGCCTGTGGGCTGGCTACTGGCCTGTGGGCTGGCTAACTGGCTGGCTACTGGCCTGTGGGCTGGCTAACTGGCTGGCTACTGGCCAGCCTGTGGGTTGGCTGGCTGGCTACTGGGGCACTTGTAGATTATTTAAAGAAATAATCCATGCACAATAACCACTACTGCTCCAGAGTAAGTAGTCAAACCGTTTAAGAACAGTTTGACAACTTACCTGGGGTCTGCTGGGATATGAGGCTGTAGTAGGGAATAGGAGCAGTGGTGCAATGTGTGTGAAAGGTTCAGTGTGTGTGTGGGGGTGTAGTGTGTGAATGTGTAGGGTGTGTGGGCAATGTATGTGTGTGGCAATGTTAGTATGGGGGGCTGTGTATGGGGGTCTGTGTATATGGGTGGGCAGTGTATGTGTGTGTGTGAGGCAATGTGTGTAAATGTGTATGGTGTGTATGGGGGCAGTGTGTGAATGTGTATGGTGTGTGTGTGGGGGCAGTGTGTTTATGGGGCTAGAGTTCACTCTCACCACTGCGACCACCAGGAATCCATGGGGGTTACAGTGTTGAGAGTGAACTCTAGCCCGTAGCTCCAGGGCTAGAGTTGACTCTCGCAAGAGCAGTAACGTTGCCATGGTAACCGCGGCAACGCTCTGTGCTCGCGCAAGAAGGACCCAGAGGAGCTGCAGGGTGAGCTCCCAGGTCCTCTCTTCCTCCCCTGCCCGCACGGTGCCTGCGGACAGGGGAGGGGGGGCATTCTTCCCTCTCTTTCTCCCCCAACTCTCTATTCCTCCTCTGTCTCCCCGTGTCTCATTCTTCCCTCTCTTTCTCCCCATCTCTTTATTGCCCCCCCCTTTCTCCCCCTTCCCCATCTCTATGTCCCCCCCTCCCCATCTCTCTGTCCCCCGTCTTTCTCCCCCCTCCCCATCTCTCTATTGCCCCATCTTTCTCCCCCCA